GGCCTGATCCAACATTGGCTTCTCTTATGTTCTTATATGGAGCAGAGGTCCATCAGTGGCTACTAGCCACCAGGTATAGATAGGAACTCTCGGTCTGGGGCAAGTGATGCTCTGTCTTCTTGGTGCTTGGGGGGGGTGTTCAACAGTGGGAGGGCTTCTAGTGTCCTCCTGGCCCCCCTGCTGGACCTCCTGAGGGCACTTGGTATTTCTGGCCACTGTGTGACACAGAGTGTTGGACGGGATGGCCCATTGGCCTGATCCAACATTGGTTCCTCTTATGGAGCAGAGGTGGCCCCTGGTATTTTTGACCACTGTGTGACCGAGTGCTGGACGGGATGGGCCATTGGCCTGATCCAACATTGGTTCTTATATGGAGCAGAGGTCCATCAGTGTCTACTAGCCACCAGGTATAGATAGGAACTCTCGGTCTGGGGCAAGTGATGCTCTGTCTTCTTGGTGCTGGGGGGGGGGTCCAACAGTGGGAGGGCTTCTAGTGTCCTGGCCCCACTGCTGGACTTCCTGATGGCACCTGGTATATTTGGCCACTGTGTGACATGGACTGGATGGCCCATTGGCCTGATCCAACATTGGCTCCTCTTATGTTCTTATATGGAGCAGAGGTCCATCAGTGTCTACTAGCCACAAGGTAGAGATAGGAACTCTCTGTCTGGGGCAAGTGATGCTCTGTCTTCTTGGTGCTTGGGGGGGGGGGTCCAACAGTGGGAGGGCTTCTAATGTCCTGGCCCCACTGCTGGACTTCCTGATGGCCCCTGGTATTTTTGACCACTGTGTGACCGAGTGTTGGACGGGATGGGCCACTGGCCTGATCCAGCACTGGCCTCTCTGATGTTCTCATGTTCAAGGTGCCCACTGGACTCGGACTTCGTTCTGCTCCTTCAGACCAACACGGCTGCTCACCCGAATCTATAAAAAATGTGATTTAACGTCGCATGTGCAGCGTTTAATCGCTTTGTAACTTGCAAAGTGGGCGAAAGCAGAAGTACAAAGAGAACAAGCTCGTGCTGAGCGCTGAGATAAGCTTATCTAGGGGGAGTCGGCTGCGAGCATCTGGGCTAAACAACTCCAGGAGACTAAAACAGGCACCAGGGATGCTGAGTTGCCCAAACGGCCCTTGGAATGTGCAGGGGTTTGCCGTGGAAACTTTACTCAGGAGCTTGAAGTTTCGGTTCTGGCTACAGTTTTTGCACGTGCTTACCGTGATGTAACCTAAGAATATAACTGAAGGGAACACCCCTGCAAGGGTGTGGTTTTTCTTTGCACACCTGTTTCTGTGGTCACCATTTGCCTGGCAAACAAATCTTTAAGCTTGTTGTTACCCGGTTGCCTGTCTGTTTGTACTTCAGCTAGGGAATGAATCTGGTGCATTCCACCACCGAGTCCACACAGAATACATTCCCCATCCTTGTAAGTAAAGGGAAGGATCTTTCTAAGTTGGGACTTCTGCATCTGCCCGAAAAACGGCAGACCTGCATCAACATCCCTCCCCTCCCCGGGCAAACATTATTCGGCTGGACAGAGGGCGGCCGCTGCAGCCAGGTCCACCCGCTGCTCAAAAGCGCATCTGCCTTAGAGGCCCCCAAACGAAGCAACCCCATCTGAGCTCCCAGGAGAAGCAAACAGGCCACCCCACAGCCAGGAACTTTTTTTTGGGGGGGGTACTAATTAAATTTAAATTGCTAATATCATGTTATCCATCTGTCAGCTATGCCACCATGGGGGTTGGGATGTTCTTTCAGTGTCGGTGTAAATTGCTTTCGCATTCCTCTCTCTGCTTTGCACTGAAATGCTTATCTCTAAAGAAGTACAGGTGGCGGTGTGTGTTGTCTGCCTTCCAGGCAAACCGTGGGAGCCTAACAATTCCCAGCTTCGCATAGTAACAGTTTGCTGGCTTTAGCTCAGGCGCGAGAGGGTGCCTAATTGGCGAGCGCAGTGGGGGGGTGCATACAAATGCCCTATATCTCATTAGGTTCAAGAGACAACTGCTATTCTTAACAGTGACTGTGTTAATGCATCTATGGCTCTTCAATAAAAGTATAACCTTTCCAAGAACTGTGTACTCTGTTGTTGGCTGTGGGTTCTGACACCATCATGTGGCCTGGGTCACATGACGCAAGAGGCACGATCCTCCCAGGCCCCCCAACGCAGGTGCAGTGGAAGAGAAGGAGAGCTTCAGCTGCGCCACCCCAAAGCACTTTTCTGTAACCCTCCTTTTCTTCTACTCACCCTTCACTGGCTCTTCCTGCTGCTTCCTCCTGCTGCTGGGGTAAAGGGTGAGCAGAAAGGAGGGTTACAGAAAGCGCTTCGGCCCGGCACAGCAGCATAAGAGCAGCTTAAGGAAAACTATAACAGAAAAAATTGGGGAAGACTGGGTGGAAGTGTGCAGATTCCACAGGGGCGCTGCAAATTCAATAGGGGGCACCGCCCCCAGTGCCCCACCATGGGCTATGGGCCTGAAACATGCCCTCAGGGGGCATGTTTCCTCTAAGCTGAGTGAGCATGAGCCAGCTCACGGTTTTTTAGCCTCCGGCTCACTCATTTTTGTCTTAGCTCAGGAAGGAGGGCTCCAGAGCAAACTCATTAATGCAGTAGCCAAACGGCTCACTCACAGCTTTAATGCCAGTCGCTCACAAAGCAGAATTCTGGCTCACAAGACTCCACAGCTTAGAGGGAGCGCTGCTTAGGGGGGAAGAGGCCATCCCAGCGGGCCTTTGGGTTTTCCCCCAGGATTCTTACTCTCCTGTTTCTTTGGCTGTTGTTTTCGGTCCAAAAGACAGCGAAAACTTAACAGCTCCATTTCTCTCTGACTGCATCCTTTCCTTCACCTCCGGCACCAATTGCCACCAGTGTTCCCTCTAAGCTGAGTTAGTGTGAGCTAGCTCACCATTTTTTAGCATCCAGCTCACAGATTTTAGTCTTAGCTCAGGAAAGTTGACTCCAGAGCGAACTGATTTATGCAGCTGCCAAATTGCTCGTTCACAACTTTAATACCAGTTGCTCACAAAGTAGAATTGCTGCTCACAAGACTCCACAACTTAGAAGG